TTTTTTTTTTTTTTTTTTTTTTTTTTTTTTTTGTTTACTGTATTCCTAAAGTATAAATTTAATAGCAGAAGAAAAAAATATTTACCTCTAAATTATCCGTTGTAAGATGAAGACGTGAATTAGTGCCAATATTAAATAACGCATTAACATCATGTTGTGCTGATAAATTTTCCGATTCACCATACAAACCGAACTGTAGCACAGATTCTTTGCACCAAACATTACCAGAAACATGTTGTTCGGTAAAATTAATTTCTGATTCTGATGATGTGACCACAACCAATTGTTCAACTATTGAAATATTTGATGAAATAGAATGAATCTGAAAAAAAAAAAAAAAAAACACAAGGCCTATCTTTACAGTTATAAATAGCGTATACAATGCACAACTATTTATCTGTACAAACTACATATAAATTGGCCAAAATCCTAAAATAATAACTGTTCTCGTAAGCTGTGATATTGAACTTTAATAAGCCTACTTAAACTGTAAATACTGTTAGTTTTCGTATATTTACTTAGCTTTTTTTTTGATTATACCGCAACAGTTGTGGCTGCCTTATGCAAAAAAAAAAAAAAAACACAGTTTAAGCTTTGCAAGAAAAAAAGTATATATATATATATATATGTAATTTCTTTATCTTACTTTCTCCTTCTTTTATTTTTGTAAACCTTTTGGTTGGTACTTTAAAATTTTAAAATTTCAAAAAAATTTGGTATTATTTTTGAATGGTATATGAGAGAGGGAAAAAATTGAAGAAATAGAAGGAAGCAAACAATAAGAAAACATGGATAGAAGTATTTCTTTGAATATCAAAACAATTTTTTTTTTTTGTTCATCATCAGCCAACAATCAAAATAGGCCAAAATAGTGATTTTTGGAGTTCTTTGTTGTTTGCCATTCTTCTCTGCAATACTTTTGTTACCACCACCAAACAGCAACAGGAAAATTAAACACCAAAAAAAAGAAGGAAGGCTAAAAGTTCCCATTAAACAAATAGGAAAAATTAGCAGCTGAAAAGTAATAGCAAAAAATTTGCTTACAGTTACTGCTGATTTTTATCAGACAGAACGGAAGGGAGGTGGCAGCAATGTACAGTTTATTGGATTTTTTAGCACCACCTGAAAATTTCACCTATTTTTTTTTTTTTTGCTTTATATACACATCCTCTTATATAG